TAAAAATTTTTAAAAAACAATTAAATTTAATGTACTTCCGCATAAATTAATTGCTTTGACATTTCGATGACAATCAAAAACAGCTTAAGAGACGAGGCAATATATATATATATATAGCAAACAGGCTATTTACTAACTAAAAAGTTAGGATGGGTTTAAAATTTTATTTAGCAATAATAAAATAATTGTGTGAAAATTCTCAAAAATAACTTTTTGAAGTTAAATTTAAATTTAAAATCATACTAAATTTTCAGTTTTCGGTATGTTTTTCGACAGAAATTTTGCTTCTTAATGAATTTTTAAAAGTTGCAATACCAAAATCTTCCAATACAGCTAAAGTAGGAGAGGCTGCAGCACAATTTGAAATGCCATACCTGTCAGCCTCTCTTGCTCTGTTTGCTAAGGATACTCCTATCTGTTTACCAGTTTCTAAACTTGAACAGTCAGATTCTGGTTTGCTGTCCTCCTTTGGTCTTTTTATGCTTGCGTTATCTTTGAATTCATTGTCATACTCATTTCATGGTCACATATCAACTTTATGTATTCATTTGATTTGTCTGTTTTTGTTATATCTACTATTCTCTGTTTTTTTAGTATTTTCTCTATTATTTAAAGCAAGCTTTCTTATATTTAATTCTTTAACTTTCCTGGTAACTTTACAATGACTCCTCCAATGTGCAATTTACATATAGTTCTTTACTATTGTAGTGCGCTTGATTTTGATCATTTTAAACTAGCCCCTTTGTTTATGGTGATAACGAGTTTAGGTTTAGGTTTATTCATTCATGGTCAAAAATAAATTTACAATTTTTTTTTTTGACAAAGAGCGGCACACCAGGCCTCTCTGTTATGAAAATACAGTTTTTCAATTTCAGCTTAAGTGAAGATGCCGTAGCAGAGAAATTTTGTGTTTAAAATTGTTCAAGTTCTTTGCGTCCACCACATTTTGGGTTAAAGAATTCCATAATCTTACAATATGGTTGGTGAAGAAGTTGCTTCTTTCAGGGCAGTTTTGGACAAGTTGTGCTCTTAGTTCTTTAGTGTGTCCACCCGGCCGGAAACTGGACTTTGAAGATTCTGTGTTAGGTTGAAGTTGAGGGACGTTAAAGTTAACTTTATCAATTTTGGTTATGATTTTATATTGTTCGATAAGGTCTTCTTTTTCTCATCGTTCAGTTAGTGTTGTCAGGTTAAGGCTTGATAGTCTTTGAGCATACGAAAGGTGTTTGGGGGAGGCAATATGTTTTGTGGCTCAATGTTGAACTTGCTCAAGTTTGTCTATGTCTTGAATAAAAAACGGTGACCAGGCCTGTACTGCGAATTCTAGGTGTGGGCGATGCAGCTGAGGCAGCCGCACAGACTTTTTTAACTTTTAGATCGCTCGTTATAAGAACGCCTAGGTCTCGTTCAGATGACGTGCATGATAGCTGGTGCAGTTGGTAGTCCAGGTTAATTATTGTATAAATTGCAGACGATTTTTTTTGTTGCCGCGCCCGGTGTGCATGACTTTGCACTTTTCGACATTAAATGACATGAGCCATGTGTGCGACCACTTCACTGCTTCGATGATATCGGCTTGGAATTTTATGATGTCATGGTTTGATTCTATTGTTCCAATTTTTTTACAGTCATCTGCATACATTTTAAAGTGGTGTTGTAGTTTGTCTGGCAAATCGTTAATGTAGATAAGGAACAGGAGTGGTCTAAGAACAGATCCTTGTGGCACACCGCTAGAGACAGTTTTCCAATTAGATTTGTTACCAATGGTTACGCATTGTAGCCGGTCGGTTAGCCCGCTTTTGATCCAATCATGCAAGTTGGCGGACACTCCATATGATTTTAGCTTGTGCTGCAGATGACGGTGCAGAACATTGTTGAATGCTTTAGCAAAGTCTGTGAATATGATATCGGTTGGGTAACCTTTGCGAGCAGCTTCAGTCAGGGTGTCGCAAGTTTTGAGTTGGTTTGTGACACAACTTTTACCTTTTCGGAACCCGTGTTGAGCAGAGCTGATCAATTTATTTTTGTTTAAGTGGTCAGTAATATGTTGGTGTAAAAAGCTTTCCATTACCTTGCAAGGGACAGAAGTGCGTGAGATAGGTCGATAGTTTGAGGGGTTTAACTTGCATCCTTTTTTGAAAATAGGAGTAATTTGGGCTTTTTTCCATTGAGACGGTACTTCTCCAGCTTTAAGCGATTCAGAGAAGATAATGCTCAGTGGGATAGCAAAACCTGCAGCACAGTATTTCAGGGCGCATGGATGAATACCATCAAAGCCCATTGATTTATATTTATTCAGGTCCAAAAGTTTTTCTTTGATAGATTCGTATGATGTGAGTGTCGTCGGTTAGTTTATGCTAGTGGAAGGATTCGTTAAGAGTATTGCAGATTACTTTAGGATCTGTTGTAGTCTGATTATTAGTTGTTTCAAGTTGACCGATGCGATTGTATGCTTCTTGTTTGCTTTTGGCGTACGAGTAGATTATTTTTGGGTGATATTTGCTATTATTTACCAGTTCCATTTCGTAATTCAGAACGGCTGTTTTAACTAATTTTTTTACTGCTTTGCTTGCTTTTTTATGCTTTGCATAGAGTTACCTTGTTTTTTCGGCTGGCTGTGATAAATTTGCCCCAGAGTTCGCTTTTCAATTTGATAGCATTTGCAACATCTTTGGTCACCCATATTTTGTGTTTGTTAGTATAAGGGGTGGTTGTTGATGGGACATGTAATGAGGTTGCTTCATTGAATTTGTTGATAAATATTTGATATTTTTCGGAAATGTTCGAGCCGTCGAAAATCGAATGCCAGTCGAATGTTTTGATATGCGTAGAGATTAATTTGTAGTCGGCTTTACTCCAGATCAGGCGCTTTTTGTAGACATTAGAGGAATCAGTTATTTTGGGTTCTTTAGTTTTTAAATTGATGAGAGCTATGCTTCCCTCAATAAGACTGTGCTTGACCTTTGGCTGTGTGGCCTAGAGGACTAGCTTCTTTTATGTTCATTATTCGGTCTGGTTTGTTAGTCAGGATCAAGTCAAGAGTTTTTTTTGGAGGTTCCTCGCGAGTAATGCAATATGTTGAAAAAGTTATATGCTGGGTCAAATGATTTTCTTCAAGACAGTCTCGAAATTTGATATCTGTTGGCCAATCATTTTGTATGTATGCAACAGTCGCGACGCCACCTCCTACGTCGATATTTGAATACACAGTGTTACTGAAGTTGAAGTTGCCGTACGCAAGTAAGGTTGAGCATCCAATTGTGTTGCATTTGTCAGAGGCAGTACTTATTGAGCTTATTATTTCATCGAGCGTTAAGTCATTCAGGTCATGAGGACGGTAAAGACAGCCTATTAAAATTGATTTGTCATGAAATTTTAATTTGATCCAGACTTGCTCAATGGTGGTGTGGTTGTGTTGGTCAATTTTAGTGAAAGAACAATCGAGGCTTTCCTTTTTCTAGATGGCAACTCCTCCTCTTCCGATTCTATTTTTTTTAAACAGTTGGTACCCAGCTATTTTTGTTTCGGGGTTATTGGTGAACCAAGTTTCGACAATCAAAATTATGTGTGGTTGAAGTAAAGTGTCTATTGAGGTGATTTTGGCTCTTAGTTTGTCAATTTTATGGCCATTAGGTGAGCAACGGTTATTGGCCCAGTAGATGATTTTTGATTTTATGAATATCATTATATTCATAAAATCAAAAATGCTATTTTTAATGCAACAGCTATTCATAAAATCAAAAATGATATACAAGTATATCATTTTTGATTTTATGAATAGCTGTTGCATTCTGTTCATTTGGATTTTGTTTGAGCTTTACGCAAATTATTAAAAAAATAATAGCACAATTATTATTACTGAAAATAAAATAAATAAATATTAAAGCAAAGCAAAGTTATAAAAAAATCAAACTAAACAATAATTAAATGCATTCAAAGTATAAATTGATATTTCAAAAGAATTATAATATTTAAAATATTTACAGTTTATGCAGCTAAGAAATTAAAAGAGAAATAAATTATCAGATCATTCACTTTTAAAATTATGACTATAAATGTGAGTAATAAATTTTGAATTATATATTACTGTCAAATCTAACTGTAATCATTAAGTTTTATTATTCTCTTAATTTATACTCAATTTAGAAAGTGATCAGTTTAAATTTTTCTGTTAAGTTGCATTTTTATCTTATTATGGTTTAAAGTTGTAAAGGTTGATCTATATATTTAATCGATTTAACCTTGAATCTCTTACTGTCTGAGCACTCATAATTTGATAGAATGCATTATCAAGTTTATGATCAGGTTGATAGAATAACAGGAAGTGGATTAACAAGCTGTCAAGATTCAACTGGAAGCAGACAAATCCAAAATTAAATAGTTTTAAAAGTGGGACTGTTGCTTTATATTTTTTTTTATTTTTTTTCCGGATATTTTTAATATAACCTGGATGATCTATGTTAATCATATCAAGTGACTTAATCATATTACATGCTAGTGATCTCAAAATTTTGCTCAGTCTTCTAGCCAGATAACTAGCTAAAATTTCCGCCTTATTTGCTGGCTGTTTTAATGGAAGCTTATAAAAAGTGATACCATCATGAAGATAAATCGTGATCTTCCAAATTTTGGGGTGTTAAGTAAAGTTATGGAGTGTTAGGTGAAATAGGTTAGAAAAACTTTTAGAAGATTTAGAATACAAAAACACCTATGCTGATTTAACATATTTACAAAAAGAATTTGATGGTTCTCTTGAACTATCGGACTATTTTGATGGTACGATTTTATCCTAAATATATTAATTTTAAAATATGCAAAATACGGATGATAAAAAAATTCTTTGAATTGCGTAATGTATATGTAATAAAAAATATGTTTAAAAACCGGGCCAAAAAAGCTTGGAATTAAAAATGGTCTGAGCTACAACAGGTTTTTTTTTTGTTTGTTTGTTTATATTTCTATAAGTATGCAAACTTATATTAATGTAATTATTTTTTTAGAGAGCTCCCGCCTCAAGTGAACGGCGAATATACTTGTGTCATGTCTTATGACAAAGAAGAATTTGTTGCCACTGCAAAATCTTATCGCATCGCAAAATCGATTTTAGCCGTAAAGGTTTTTGAAAAACTAAAAAATAGTTCAGTTTGATGTTTCTTCTGCCCCTCCGCCTGAATTTTACTATACAATTTGTTTATTATAATAATTTATACTTATACAATAAAAGCTCACTCTTTCATTACTCATTGTTGCAAATTGTTGAGTTATACTCGAAGAGCAATAAGAGTCTAGATTTTACTGCTGGACTTGTGTTGCTAGATGGGCTTGTCTTGCCAGCTTGAATTGTCTTGCCAGCTGAGCTTATTTTTTTTTAATTTTTCATGAAAAAATATATATGCAAAGAAGCAATTTTGTTCATAGTCCAGTTGCTTAAACTGAACTCTCTTTATACTTTTCAAATATAACCAAAGTTTGTATTTCACCAAATTGTGAGCTTTTGTTGTGTTAAGTAATTCTATATATGAGTTTTATATTTAATATATGTTTATATATTTTTTATATATAATAGTTTATATAAAGTTTTTTATAATCGACTACAAGTTTTGGAAAATAAAAATTGTTTATAAATAGTTTTTCTTTTTTTCAAATTTTTTTTTAAATTTTGATTATGTTATATATGATTTTGATTTGATATATATGATTCTTTCTTGTACTTTTATCAGAGATAATGGGTATAAGTGGATTAGCTTTTTGCCATAAATATTTTACTGAGGTCCACAATTTTTCAGAAGTTAATCATAAATTTTGATCATTTTCTTCAATCCTTTTAAGAAAAAGAACAAATCTTAAAACATCTCTTAAAGTTGGTATTTCTGACTCTAATAACGTTTTTCCAGTACCAATTAGCTTTGTTAATTTACATCTAACATCTTCACGAGTTTTTTGAGCCAAAAAACTCGTGATAAAATTAGATGTAAATTAATCATATTAAGTCACTTAATATGATTAATATGATTAAGTTACTTAATTGACTTAATATGATTAAGTCACTTAATATGATAAAGTCGCTTAAAAAAAGAATTAGTTTTCAGTATCATATGATCAAAGACATAAGAAAAACGTCTGTTCGAACCTAAATTTAAAAATTTTTCAAAAGTGACCCACCCTAATATAAGAGCACAATAAATACTGATTTATTGTGCTCTTATATTTGGGTGGTTTATGAGCATAAACAATACTAAATATAACTTAGTTGGACTCACAAATTTTAAATAAAATTTATAAACTATTAATTATTTGTAAATTTTTATAAAAATATCAGTATTATATAATATGTATTAAAAAATGTATTAGAATATAGTATACTGTTTGTTATAACAAAAGTGTTTGACTTACTATTAGTTTTAGAAAAGACAGCGTACCCTACTATAACATTCACCGTCTAAAATACGAAAAAATCGACTAGTTTTTCTAAAAACAGCCACAACAAAAGCCCCCATTGCGTGTTTATTTTTTTTGAGCTTTTAACAAAATTAATCGTATTAAGTGACCTGATCAAAAAATTAAAAAAAAAATTTCAAATTCATATATATATATATATATATATATATATATATATATATATATATATATATATATATATATATATATTATTGAAAATCTGAATTATGAAAAAATAAATAATAAAATATAGCTTGTTAGGGGGAACGTTTAGTTTTCAACAAAAAAATGACTAAACGATGAATAATTAAAGATAAAAAATTATAAATTAAAAGTTATTTGGTAAACTCAGTATATACTATTTTAAACTTTTTTGAAAAAGTCATATTTTGTTAAAAGCTCAAAAAAATAAACACGTAAAGGGGGCTTTTGTTATGGTTGTTTTTAGAAAAACTAGTCGATTTTTTCGTATTTTAGACGGTGAGATTATAAATTAACAGATGAACGTCAAACGGTGAGAACGTCAGACGGTGACGGTGAAATTATAAATTAACAGATGAACGTCAAACTCCTTACAATTTACAAACCGAACGCTTGAGGAGTTTGATACAGCTTTTAGATCGTTAAAAAGAAATAAATCAGTAGGACCTGACGGTATAAATGGAAATATTGTAATAGACTCTTATGATGTCATGAAAAATATTCTTTACAAAATCTTTAAATCATCCATTAAACAAGGTTCGTTCCCAGACTCTCTGAAAATAGCAAAAATAATTCTTATTTTTAAAACAGGAGACCCGACCAATATAACAAATTACAGACCTATTTCTGTTCTTCCATTTTTTTCAAAAATATTAGAAAGAATAATGTATAACAGAGTGTACACATACCAATAAGCTTCTTTATAAAAATCAGTTCGATTTTAAAAAAAAACAACTCAACCGAACATGCTATTCTTCAATTAACACGTTATATTAAAGAATCTTTTAAAAATCAAAAATTTACACTTGGTGTTTTCATTGACTTGTCAAAAGCTTTTGACACGGTCGATCATATTATTTTGCTTAAAAAACTTGAATGTTATGGCATAGCAGGTAAAACTCTAAGTTGGTTCAAAAGTTATCTCTCCAACCGAAAGCAATTTGTTTTTAATAAAGATTCCCAACCTCAAACATTAATGAACAGAACATATGGTATCCCACAAGGATCCATACTTGGACCACTTCTTTTCATTATATATATAAATGATCTTAACAAAGCATCCAATTTAAAGACTATAATTTTTGCAGATGACACAAACTTGTATCAGTCACATGAAAATATAAACCTACTTTTTAATAATATGAACAGAGAACTTAAAAAAATTTCAATTTGGTTCAAAAAAAATCTTTAAATATTGAAAACTGACCCGGAACATCTAAGCAACTTTCTGATCATAAATTAATCTTAAATAAACTGCTTGACAATAAACTTTCAATAAAATCATGCGAAGAATCTAATTATTATGGCTGCTACTAAGATTTTCATATAGTTTGCAAATGTTTTCAGGAAAATAAAATTCCTATTATTGAACTTAAATTTTTAAAGTCACAGAGGGATAAAGTTGGTTCTAAAATTGGAATGCAAATAGGTTCAGTTGACCTTACAGAAACAGTTGTATATGGCAATGATAGTAAATCTTTTTTTTTTTTTTTAATTGTTTATTTTGTCGTTTAATAAAATACAGTTTCAAAGCATATAAATAAAAATAAATATTGGCGGGGCAAGAAGAAGACTAATTTAGCCTTATCACCGAGCCCCATTCTCACGTATTTACAAAAACCGTAATATTTAAATATCTATAGTTAACAAACTATTTATTAAAAAAATAAAAATATAAAAGTAAAATAGATAAAAATTCGTTGTCATTTAAAGAAAAAATAAAAAGAATCAATAAAAAGAATCAAAATTTAAAGAGAGTAAGATCAAGTGAAAAAAAATAAATAAATAAATAAGATATTATCATTTGCTTAAAACTTAAAAGTTTAAACTAAGATTTAAAAATAAAAAGTGAAAAAAAAAAAAAAAAAAAAAGTATAGCATAGAAATAACAAAAATAAATTAGTATACTTCATAGAAATAACGTAAATAAATTAGCAAACGCCATAGAGGTAATACCATAATTAAGGTAATGAAAAAATAATATTGATACACTCAGTGACATAATTTTAGTATTAATAATTTTTTGTATTTGAGTTTTAGTTAAAAAAAACATTTAAAATCAGATATATTAAAATCCATGAGTAAGAATGCTTGTTTTGATTCATTTTTAAATTGATCTATACTAGTTTTATGTGAATTTACAATCTTGGGAAACATTTTCCCAAGATTGTAAATACACATACAAGTAAGGTCCTCGATAAAGAACTGAATATGAAGTTAGTTTTGAATTATATTTTGGGACAACAAAGTTGTTATTTGAAAATTTTGTTGGATATTTATGAACTATTTTGTCAAAATAGGATTGAAATATTTTAGGAGATAATCCTATATTTGTTTTATACATGAACATTAAAACTTGGTGTAAGTTGATTTTATATATATTTAGTGCTCCAAGTATACGCAGAAGGGGCTCACAAGATACAGTTCTGTCAGCTCCAAATATTGTTCTGCACGCGTGCTTTTGTTTTCAGTACAATTTTTTTAATTTTGTATGGTTTGTACTTGCCCATGCAATATTGCAATAAATTAAGAAACAATGAATAAAAGAGAAATATAAACTTTTTAAAGAATTATTGTTTAAAAATGGTTTAGTCCTATATATCATTGCTAAATTTTTTGATATTTTATTTTCAATAATTTTATGTGTAAATTCCAACGTAAATGTTCATCTAAGATTACGCCTAGAAAGTTTACTGAATTTTCTCTTTTAATGTTAGTGTTATTGATTATTAAATTAGGCAATTTGATGGGAATATTTTTTGAATTATTCACTTTGTGGAACAAAATAAATTTGGTTTTATCCACATTCAGAGAAAGTTTATTACTTTTAAACCACTCATTAACTTTTGATAATTGTTTGTTTGTTGTTTTAAACAGTGTATTGATATCTCTGTGGGAATAAAAAAGATTGGAATCATCTGCAAAAAGAATACAATTTAATAGGTCTGTTGCTAAATTTAAATCATTAATGTACACTAGGAACAACAGAGGTCCTAAAATGGAGCCCTGGGGAACCCCACAAGTTATAGCAGACAGCAATGTTTGCTTTTGTTCATACACTATAAATTGTTTTCTATCGGTCAAATAACTTTTGAACCAAAGTAAATTGTTATTTCTTACTCCATAGTGTTCAAGTTTTTTTATTAGTATGTTACGATTAATGGTATCGAAAGCTTTTGACAGATCAATGAAAGCTCCTAAGGTAAAGTAGTTACTACTGAATGCATTTGATATTTGATTTACTAGTTCAACCACTGCATGTTCCGTTGAATTTTTAAATCTTACCCTAGGGAGATTAAAAAAGATCATTTTATTGTCTGTTCTGAACCTCGTGGAAAATATTTATTCTACTTTGTAAATAGAAGAAGTAGAGTAAGAGAAGAGAGAAGCTCGAACACCTGCTGAACATATTGCTGAACATCTTTATGATTAGATAATAGCACATGGTGTTGAAAACCAATTAGTTACAATTGAAGGAGATTCAACCAAACGTAATGCAGGTTTTATTTTTATTTCTACAAATGGTAGTTTAAAGTTTTATTTTTTTACTTAAATTAAAAAGTTGTTATAGGTTGGAAGGGTGGAGTTATTCAATTTTTACAGAAGAAACTAAGATTAAAACTTATCTTTATTACTTGTGCGCTACATACTAACAAATTGCCACTTAGGCATTAAGTGTTAGCTTTAGATGGAATAACTTTATGTAAAAATAGATTCTCAGGAAACATCCAAAAACTCAACATAGCAACAAATCATTCTATTTTGACATACATCCCCGAGTTTGATTTTGTTGTAGATCTAATTTATCTCAAGAAGGAAGTTGTAGATTCATTGTCTACAGATCAGAAGTGTTTATACAGAATATATACACACACACACACACACACACACACACACACACACACACACACACACACACACACACACACACACACGCACGCACGCACACGCACACGTAAACATATTCAAAAAGAGATTATAAAATATCTATTTATAAAAGCATTGTCAATAGTCATACACTTTGCCAAGTTTAAATTATAAATTTCGCCAATAGGAAAAGTGAACAAAATTAAGTTTACAAAATATATGAATGGAGCTGTAACAAAAAAAAAAAATAGTATTTTTTTCAAGCCTCTTTAAAAATAAAAATATAAGTAATAAAAACAAAAAAAACAACCTAACT